CTCACCACAAACTGGTTGACCACAAACTGGTGACCCACCACCTCACCTCATGGGGTAGTCTTACAGTAGCTTACCTCATTTCTCCAGGGTCGGGGATAGAGGGTAGTGCTAGGGGGGTAGGTATCAACAAGGTTCTCCTTAACATGTGGGGTTCCTCAAGGGACAATCCACTCCCTGATGTTGTTTAACATCTATATGCACCCCCTCACCCACCTGGCAAAGAGTTTCGGGCTGGGGTGTCAGCAGTACACTGATGACACCCAGCTGTATCTTTTGATGGGTGGCCGCCCAGACACCACCCCACAAAATTTGGCCAAGGGGCTAGAGGCCATGGTGGGATGGTTGAGGAGGAGCCGGCTGAAAATGAATCTAACCAAGATGGAGGTTCTGTGGCTAAGTGGGTGTGATTCAAGATTGGGTTCCCAACTTCCCACTCTGATCCCTTTTTTTTTGTATACATCTTTTTATTAAAATTTTCCAAAAAGAATGTACAACTTGATGGTAAACATCAAAACAACATTTGAGAATACATCAATATATCAGGAAACCGGTAACAGTATATGCTTAGAGAACTTAATTTGCGTTCAACAATGTTTGCATCAATAGCCTAAGGGCTGAAACAGAGTAGAAGAGAACTACGAATGCAACAAGAATTATCAGACTAGCCAGTTGGATCTAAGTGACCTATTTTACCATAGCCATAGTGTATTCATCACCTGAGGGGAATCCTGTAGGATAGAGAAATAGGAAAGAATGGGAAACCATACAGAAGTAAAATTGGTGTGGGTAGGACATTTGTCAAAATGCGCAAGATTGTCCGAGAGTTTAGCCGTGATATATAAATCCCACAACTTTTTGTGCCATTGGGAAAGTGTGGGTGTCATTGCCGTTTTCCAGTGTGTAGCAATGACAGTTTTTGCTGCAAAAAGTAGTATAGCTATTCTTTCTATGGTGGAATGACTCACACAGTCCGCAGCCCAACTGTTCAAAAATAGATGTTCAGGAGTAGGATTAATATCGATATTGTTAAAGGAATTGATCTGGTCTAGCACTTCATTCCAGAAGGGGATAATCTTAGGACAAAGAACCCAACAATGCATATAGTCTCTTATGCTGCCACAATTCTTCCAACACTTTGGATTATACGATGGGTTCATGTGAGCCAGCTTTTGGGGAGTCCCAACTTCCCACTCTTGATGGCACACCTCTAATACCGACAGAAGCCATCAAGAGTTTGGGTGTGGTCTTAGATACCTCCTTGTCTATGGAGGCCCAGTTCATGAACATTGCCAAGACGGCGTTTTCCCAACTGCGCCACGCAACGGTCACCTCCAGACTGGATTACCGTAACTTGCTTTACGCTAGCCTGCCCTTGAGACTGATCCAGAAACTCCAACTCGTCCAGAATGCAGTGGGGCAGGTCCTGATGGGGACACCACAGACCTGTGCTGTGCCAGTCAGTAGAGTTTTTGTTGATGAGGCTGTTTGCCCACTATTACGAAACACTGGTGACAGAACACCTACTGGTTGTGGCTCGGGAACAGTTACTTCTAGTAGAGTCCTTACCAAATCGTCAAGATCCTCACGATTACCTCATTCGTCATTTTATAAAAATGGGGAAAGGATTGGGAATATTAAAAGCTGTTCCTACTACATCAAATGGAGAGGTAAGCCTAACAGAGAGATCTCCCAGGAGAATGGTGAGTGGTGAAAGAACAACAAGAATAATGGCTCAAACTTTCTCTCACTCACCAACGAAAAAGACCTTCTCAAATATAGAGAACTAGTAAGCGAAGCCCGTCGTGGCGATAGACGACGGGCCCTAGATAGGAAGGAAGGGCGGGTGGAAGGGAGGAAATGGAGAAGAGGAGGTAGAGAGAGACACACAGAGTTAGAGAGGGGGAGAGAGAGAAAAGGGGGGAGACAGAGACAGAGTGGGGGTAATAATAGTAATTTGGAAAGTAAGAAAGGAAGGGAGGTAGGAAGGAAGGGAGAAAGAATGGAAGGAAGGAAGGAAGGAAGGAAGGAAGGAAGGAAGGAAGGAAGGAAGG